TGGAGCTTTAGTTCAAATATTATTATCTTCTGGTATTTGGATATTGCAAAACCTATCAATGTAAAAGGGCTAAAAAGAAGCAGTGCATTATGATAGTGGAAATGTAAAATATTTATAGATTATAGCAAAGTTGAAAGTGATGCAAAATGCATGTGTTTATGGAATGAATTAATCTGTAGCAGGAACTTTCTGAAGGCCAAAGAGCAAATTATGCAACCTGTTCCTGTGTCATTAAAGTTAATCAGCAAGAGACAAGGACATGTGACTGTTGGGAAGATTGCTATTAATACCTGATTTGGGGGAGCTTAAGATTTATTTAGGGGAAAGAAAGGAGCTGATAAAAGAAATAAAGCCTGAAAATAATGACCGTGGAGCTGTTAACCTTTGGCCACAAGCCACAGAGGGTTTTATAAATTCAGGGCTCCTTCCACACCTGCCCAACATCAAAGTGAATGTGCAGTGGCTAATGCAAACACAAGAGCTGCTAGGACATTCCTTAGGCTACTGGGAAAGAAAGTTGGGGCATGAACTGGTGTGTGTGTGTGTGCGCGTGTGCGTGCTTGTGTGTGGTCCAAACTGATTTCCTTTAAGGGGGAAGGGGAAAAAAAAGCCTGATAGAAGAAGGCTTAGATGCATAGAGGAGGAGGATATTTTTGGTTCAAAAGTGACAAAGGATTAACTAATATACGTACTTGCTGGAAATGCACCCAGGGACTATTAGTGTAGTCCCTTTCCATGCCCTTGCAAACAAGTTGATATTTTTATACCTTTGGGAACCTAACCTGATAGTAAAATAGAATAACTTTTATACAGTGTAGCCTGAATAATGGCAAATTGTTTTTTAGAGGAGTTGTAGACCATCAGTCTTTCAAAACAGCAAAGGGCAGAAGGTTAAATCGTATTAATGAAACTATTTCTGCAGGGAACTAAACTAATATGATTTAGTACTCTAGCTGTACACAAGTACAGGGATCAGGGGCATGAGTGGAGGTTAGTGTGACTGAGAGGAATGCGGGAGGAAAAGAGTGGGGGTGATTAAGTTCAGAGAGGGAACAGGGACCAGATCATGTAGGGCTTTATATAGGCTGCATTGGTAAGGGACTTTGTATTTTATTCTAAGGTATTTGGAAAGAAGCCATTAGCAGGGTGACAGCAGAGGAAGAATGAGCAACTCGTGTAAATTATATGTTCAAGCTTAAATGGAGGCCAAAATATTGTGATGGTAATATAGACATGTCAGAATAGAAAGAACCTGGGTTCATATTGATTTAAAATTTTTTAAATTTGAAAATGTGTAGTGGTTTTAGAGTTATATAGGAGCTACCAACATGAGGTATTTATGTTGATACATACATATATATCTCCATATATACTGTTTGTATACATTTGTTTTTATTTTTCAACAAAGTTTTGCTAAACAGTACTGGACCATATTTCATTCATCTTTATTTCTATTCTGTTCTCTTTTATGTTAAAAAAAAATGCCAGTTGCAACCCCCTAAATTGACCTAATAACCTACTTGAGAACTTTCAGAACTTGAAATTTGAAAATTACTATAAATTTAGTATAATCTCCTTATTTGACTTGCTCACGCATACATTACTGAAAATAACCAAACCAAAATCCCGATATTGCCACTTTTCCCAAGAGTGTATTTATTAAAAAACAAAACAAAACGCAACTCTCTTATTCAGTGTAACAGTAAGTTCTAGTATAGAAAAAATTGTGAGGATAAATGTTTTTTCTTGAAAGTGTTGCCCGTCGTTATCTCCCTGGTGTGAAATGTTAATGCCTGTAAATTTCAAATAGACTTACAAAATATTAACACAATTTTCTTTATTAATAGTTTATAATTAAATATGCAAATTGCTAGCCAAAGTAAGTCTGTTTGGAATTATAAACAGAGCCAAATAAACAGCCTGGTGGTTTTTAAATTGTCAGCTAGGAATTAATGAAATGAAATATTATTTTCTCATTTTCTGCAAATTGCTTAGTCTTTTATCATGTTTCATTTTGGAAGAGAGCTGTGGGAGGACTGAGGATAAATGAAACATAAAGGTTGGTGTAAAGTAATAGGGGAAAATGGCCCTTTTAATTCTTTTATTTGAATCATTGCACTTGTGTTCTCTAGTTGTCTTACCTTTGGAAAGATGCTTGACATGCCTGCATCTCACTTTTCTCATTTATAAATGAAAGTAATATCTTTATTATAGCTTTAATGTTAAGGTTAAATGAAAAGCCTGGTGGCATAAAGTATATTTTAATATAAGCTGTATTAGGCGCCTTTCCTTTCTTCTTTAGGAAGGAGTTCAGTGAAAATGTGTTGCTAGAATAAGTAGGGCTGAAGAGGGCAGAAAAATACATTAAGAAAGCATCTCTTGGCCGGGCGCGGTGGCTCATGCCTGTAATCCTAGCATCTGAGGCGGAGGCAGGCTGATGCTTGAGTCAGAGTTCTGTGAGGTAGGCTGACGCCACGGCACTCACTCTAGCCTGGCAACAAAGTGAGACCTGTCTCAAAAAAAAAAAAAAAGAAAGCTATCTCTTTTTTATTAGTTCTTCCTAGTAAGTTTATTGCATTTGATCCCAGTTGTTCTGAATTTCTTTTAGGATTGGTAAGTGATAAACAGGTAGGCTTCCTGTGCCTTCTGCTACCCTTGCCCTTTTAAAGAAGGAAGATTACACAAGTTATGCAAGGCAAGTTTGGCAAGCCAGGAAGTAGTATGTTTGTAGGTAATTCCAGTATTTTAGTTTCTGGTAGCTCAAATCTGCACAAAGAATTTATTGAAGATGTGCTGGGTAATGGGTTAGCTAATTGTTAGCTATTAATTTTAGGTGCTACCTAAAAACAATTGCCCTTGCCTGTGCAATAAAGAACATTTCCTTTAATTTAACCCAGACATCATAGGAACAAAGTTACAAAGTCAGAGTGAGATGGAAAGATAGAATTTTGTCTTCTGGCTTTTTCTTTCTTTTTTTTTTGAGACAGAGTCTCGCTTTGTTTCCAGGCTAGAGTGAGTGCCGTGGCATCAGCCTAGCTCACAGCAACCTCAAACTCCTGGGCTTAAGCAACTGCCTCAGCCTCCCAAGTAGCTGGGACTCCAGGCATGTGCCACCATGCCCGGCTAATTTTTTCTCTATATATTATTTGCCAATAAATTTCTTTCATTTATAGTAGAACGGGCTCGCTCTTGCTCAGGCTGTTCAAACCCTGACCTCGAGCAATCTGCCCACCTCAACCTCCCAGAAGTGCTAGGATTACAGGCGTGAGCCACCACACCGCCTGCTTTTCTTTTTTAAAATAAAGCTTCTTGAGATATAGTTCATATACTATAAAATTGACCTTTTAAAGTATACAATTCAGGCCGGGTGCAGTGGCTCACACCTGTCATCCTAGCACTCTGGGAGGCCAAGGCAGGCAGATTGCTTGAGATCAGGAGTTCCAAACCAGCCTGAGCATGAGCGAGACCCGTCTCTACTATAATAGGAGAATAATTGGCCAACTATATATATAAAAAAAAGCTGGCATGCGGCACATGCCTGTAGTCCCAGCTGCTTGGAGGCTGAGCAGAAGGATTGCTGAGCCCAGGATTGAGTTGCTGTGACTAGGCTGATGCCATGGCACCACTCTAGCCTGGCAACAAGTGAGACTCTTGTCTCAAAAACCAAAAAAGCATTCAGTGGTTTTCACTACAGTTTATTCACAGAGTTGTCCAACTGTGACCTCAAATTTAAGTATTTCATCCACCCAGAAAGAAACCTTGTACCCATTCCCATTCTCCAGCTGCCCCTTCAGCCCTTTAGTACTTTTTGTTTCTATGGATTTCCTATTCTGGCTATTTCATATAAATGCAGTCATATAATATATGGTCTTTGTGACTGGCTTCTTTTACTTGCATAATGTTTAAAAGTTCATCCATCTTGTAGTATGTATCATACTTAATTCCTTTTATTACCAAATAATATTCCATTGTGTGGATATACACCATGTTTGTTTATCCATTCATCAATTGATGGACATTGGTTGTTTACTTTTGGCTATTATGAAAAATGCTGCTGTGAACATTCATATACAAGTTTTGTGAGGACAATATGTTGGTTCTCTTGAATATATACCTAGGAGTCAATACTATCTACCTGGGTCAATACTAACTTTATGTTTAAACACTTTGAGGGCCAACAAACTGTTTTCCAAAGTGGCTGCAGCATTTCATCTAGCTGCATTTTAAATCACCCAGTTTTAGTTTTTTGTTTTTTTTTAAACTAATACCAAGGAATGAGTTCTGATCTCTTTTTTTTTTTTTTTTTTTTGAGACAGCGCACTTTGTTGCCCAGGCTAGAGTGAGCCGTGCGTCAGCCTAGCTCACAGCAACCTCAAACTCCTGGGCTCAAGCGACTCCTGCCTCAGCCTCCAAGTAGCTGGGACTACAGGCATACCCCACTGTGCCCGGCTAATTTGTATATATATATTTAGTTGGTCAATAATTCTTTCTATTTTTAGTAGAGACGGTCTTCTCAGGCTGGTTCGAACCTCCCAACCTCGAGCAATCCGCCGCCTCCGGCCCCAAGGGCTAGATACAGGCGTGAGCCACCGCGCCTGGCCTTGATTTCATATTAATGTATGTAAAAACAGAACCTTAGCTGAAATGAGTGGTTTGAGTTGATAGAGGAAAAACCCACTTTTAGTAGTTTGCAAAGTTTTGGAAGTATTTTTTTAAAAGTGGGTTTGATGGGCAACATAGTGACACCCCATCTTTTAAAAAAAAATAGCAATTAGCTGGTTGGGTGGCATATTCCTATAATCCTAGCTACTTGGGAAGCTGAAGTGGGAAGAGTCCTTGAGCCTAGGAGTTGGAGGTTACAGTGAGCTATAATTGTACCACTGTACTCCAGCCTGGGTGACAGAGCAAGACCCTGTCTCAAAAAAAAAAAATACCAAAAAAAAGTGGGTTGGAATTATTATTATTTATCTCAGACTTCTTCTTCTTTTTTTTTTTTACAGTTTTATCTCCAAGACACTAAAAGTAGTAATGGTACCTTTATAAATAGCCAGCGATTGAGTCGAGGCTCTGAAGAAAGTCCACCATGTGAAATTCTTTCTGGTGACATTATCCAGTTTGGGGTAGATGTGACAGAGAATACACGGAAAGGTACGGGTATGGATCGATTTTTTTCCTAGTATTTATCTTAAGATTATTTAATTTTTTATTTTGTTACTTAATGTTACAAAACATTGCATGCTTTTATATGTTTATAAACGTAATTTAAATACAGCTTGATATGCAGTGAAAAATTAAAAGTCTCCTAGTCTTCTAAAATTTTAAATTCTGAAATGTTAATAATTTATATTATTCGTCACATTATGAAAACATAAGGCACTGTGGTGTCAGTTAGGAAGCAGTTGGCTTCAATGACATCATACCCAACCAAGACAAGCTTAAACCGTAGGATGTTTATTATTAATGAGACTTAATGAAAAGTCTGGAGTCAGGTTCATTTTTGTTCAGTTGACTTGATATCTTTGGGGATCCAGGGTCTTATTGTCTTCCTTTTCTACTATCCTTAACATGTTGTCTTATGCGTTTGCTTGTTGCCTCATTGTCAAAAGGTGATAGCTGCAAGTTCTAGGCATCACTTTCCTCACACCAGTGTCCCAGGCAAAAAGAATGAGGTGGACAAAATAGCTTCTTGTGTGGCTCTCTTTTTGTGTTGAAAGAACAGTCTTCCTAGCAGATTTCTCCTTGAGTCTCATTGGCCACACAGGTAGGTAACCTACATAGCTACCTACAGCTACAGAAAAGCCTGGGAAGTTACTTAACTAGTAAAGGGAGAAGCAAGGAGATCCATAATTGGCACGTATCAATTTTGATTTATCCTTCTAGGTTGTATGTGCATTGTTACGCAAACAAAAGCAGAGTTTTGTCATCAAGAAAAAAGAGGGAAGCCGGAGGTAGACAGCTAATATTACCTATCACAAGTATAAAATAAAATTTCATGTCTCACAGTTTTTGAAACTAGAAGTTCTCTAGCTAAGTAAGTGTAGATTGGTCTTCATTTTTATAATTCTGAAGTTTCCTGGCTCTACCTAGTTCACTGTCTAGTTTGTGGCCATGAAATTGTATGGCTAAATTATAAAAGTAAGTGGATAGAAACCAAAGGTGTACAGTTCCACTGTATTAGTTTAATATGGACAATGCAGCCATTTGGCAAGTTTTTGCTTTCATTTCTTGGAACATACTCTGATCTGGTAATACACTAAGTCATCAGACTCTGACATTTTGTACCATGGAAGTGGTGATGGCGTTGATAACAGTGATGATGGTGCTGATGTGTGTGTGTTGATGTGCACATTTGTGGATATACTTCACTGATGTTGCAACGGCAGTATTATTGTTACTGGGTTTTGTTGGCCTCCTCAGGGAGTTAGGTTTTGATATTTGAATTTGGATAGGGCCAATATCTTAGGACTTTCCACTTACAATTGTAAAACTAAAAAGAAAGATTGCATTTTGATGCAAAATGTTGATTAGTTCTTACTAAGAGAATGCAACTTGTGTGTGACCATACTGGGAAAAGCTGCATTTAGACACTCTTATGTCTACTGCTGCCATATCACACCTCCTCTGGTACCATTTCATTCAGCAAATAGTAAATTGAATTCAGTAAACCACCTGTGAATAACCCACAGTAAAGAAGAGAATTTGATTACACTGCCATTCTGAGAAATGTCTGTCTTCTTGGCTTGCATGTCCCAAAGAAAATTATTAGGTGTTAATTAATAATAGGATGAGGTAGTCAAATACATTTAGGATATACTTAGTTAACCTAAGATAAGCAGGACTTCTCAGGCCCTTTAACTATGCTAACATATATACAGATTTCCAAGGAAAATGGTCATTATAGAATGCACCTCTTTCTAAACTTCTTCCTATTCTTCTCCATTTAGCTGTGAGGGACACTGTTAAGAAAATGCTGTAGAAAGTTGAGAGGATGACCTTTCTGTTCAGGGTTACTCTTAGTATAATATTTCAGCAATATTAAATTCTTGCATTGTTTTTTGAAACTTTACCTATCTTTCATGCCAACTTTAAGGAAATTAAATAAAGAAAAATTTCTTCATTATTTAAAATGTTTCTTTTGAACTTACTGGCTTAAAAAAGTTGACTTATGTATGGGTTCTTGGCATATAGCTGTGTCACCAGTTGAGTGTTACTTGTTTAAGCAAGTGCCAGGAAAAAAAGTTTAGATTTTTATCCTATGCTAAACAGTACTGTGATAAGCTTTATATCACTTGGAAAATTTTCCTCAAATTATACAACACTACTGGATAATGTCTGGATAAAAGAAGAAATCAAAAGGAAACTCTCAAACTATATTGAAAGGCAAGGAGACTTTTATACCAAAATATAGTAAGTCCCTTAGATAAAATTTATAATCTTAAATTCCTTCTGTTTTAAAGAAGAAAGACAAATAATGAAGGAACTTGGCATTTATCAGAAAAAATTAGAAAAAGAACAGCAAGAAAAAGAAGCTGGAAAGAAGAATAAAAAGCAGACATTAATGAAACAAAACTCTAGAAGGGTTAAATAAACCCAAATGCTGGTTTTTTTTTTTAAAAAAGAAAACAATAAAGTAGGTAATTCATAAACTTTGATACATTAAGTTCAAAATACTAGCAGAAATATATAAGAAGAGGAATGGGAAAGGAGAAACAAATATGGTATATATTAAAGGAATTCTAAGAGAATATTGTTATGCCCACCAATGACAATAAAAACTAGAGTAAATTGATATTGTCTTAGCAAAATTATTCCAAGAAGTGTAAAACCTGAATAAATAAATTTTCTAAAAAGAAACTAAGAAGTTATTAAAGATTCACCATTGATAAGATACCAGACACAGAGGGGTTCACAGCTGAATTTGATCTTATTTTAAAAAACAGATGAATCCTGGCAGGGCGCGGTGGCTCACGCCTGTCATCCTAGCACTCTGGGAGGCCAAGGCAGGCGGATTGCTCGAGGTCAGGAGTTCCAAACCAGCCTGAGCAAGAGCGAGACCTGTCTCTACTATAAATAGAAATTAATTGGCTAACTAATATATATAGAAAAAACCAGCGGGCATGATGGCGCATGCCTGTAGTCCCAGCTACTCTGGAGGCTGAGGAAGCAGGATTGCTTGAGCCCAGGAGTGGAGTTTGAGGTTGCTGTGAGCTAGGCTGACGCCATGGTACTCACTCTAGCCTGGACAACAAAGTGAGACTCTGTGTCAAAAAAAAAACAAAACACACACACAAAAAAACAGATGAATCCCTTATTATTTAAATAATTCTAACATAGATAAAGGTGGAAAGGTCTCAAAATCCTTAAAGAAGCCAACATATCATTAATGAAAATTTCTGATACAATACAAAACTATTACTAATTTCACTTGTGACAATAGTTGAAAAATTCCAGTTAAGAGATTAGTAAATTAAATTCAGAAGTAAAGCTAGAAATAGAAATTCAGTAATAAATAAGTAACAAAGTAGGGTTTATTCGAAGTTTACAAAGGTGATTCGATATTAGGAAATCTATCAACATAATTAACAAACTAAAGCTGAAAAACCGTGTAACTGTATAACCCAATAGTTATTGTATAACTGAATAATCAGTGGCTATTACAGAGATATTCACTCAAATTATGGAATTACTGTAACAAAAACTCTAAATAGGATTAAAAAAACTAAGTAAAATAAAAATTATAAGTAAAATAGAATAAAAATAGCAAAAGTACAATATAGCTGTGAAAATGTATGGACTAAATTTTCATATAGCAACAAGGATGAATCTCAAACATCTCAAGCAAAGTGCAGAAGGATGTGTATGGTATAATCCAATTACATAAAGCAATGCTAGAGTGCTTTTGAATACATTTATAGTAAGGATATGAAGTTATATACATAAATTATTAAAAATAGTAGTTTGTGAGGATTTATGAAAGGATTTTTTTGCATTAGTGTATATATTACTAAAAACAATGGAAGCATAATTTTAAAATTGCTCATTATATGAGTATTAAAAAGAATAAATTAGAATTATGTGAATTGCAGAATTTCTATAAAATGTATTGCTGAGTAAGGAAAGAAATTGCTTTTAATAATTTCATTATTTTGAAAAGTCTCACCAATCCTATAAATATATTTGTATGTGTTTGTATATGATTTTATGAACATGAGGAGGTAGCACTTAATGTATACTGTGTCATTAATGTGAGTTATCTAGGAGTGTAGGTGGAAGGAATAGAGAAGAGAGAGGTAAATTAAAAGTGAGACGTGGCTAATATAACAATTAAAAATTCTTTAGTATGTATTACACTTATGTATTTATGGAAAAAGTTTGTGTGAATTTTAGAAAAAGAATATATAATATATAAAATTATATATGTATATCAGATTTTCTTAAAAAGATAATATGAACCTAATGGTACTGAACTTACCAATTTGTATTAGTGTCTCTTCTACTTTAAGCTCTCCAAAACATTCTGGTTTTGATGTTTGACTTTCCATGTAGTGTGGCTTCAGGGAGAAAACTCACTGGTCAGGCATGTACAGATAACCTGCAGTATAGATATAAAATATCACTGTAAACAAATAGGGTAATATTTTAGTAGATTTTTAAAAAGAAAGGAAGGAATAGAGAAAGCCGAGGCTTAGCAACCCAACTGCTGGCCATTCCTCTGTTCTCATGCACTGCTCAGACTGAGAATAGGTTTTCTGGGTCACACACCATTACTGTAAGCCTCTGTTGCAAAGCGTGTACTAGGCTCCTTTATCTGTCCTTTGGAACTCATCATTGGCCATTTGAAGGGTATTCTCACCAACTTCTCCTTTTCAGTTGCTAGGGGAAATCATAAAGCCGATTTAGCACAGACTCCACCAAATTCTCTGATTGACATGGGGAACCTTTCCAATGGAATGGAAATCTTCTGTTCATTTTAAAAATGGATTCTAAGCCCAGGCTATGCACTAGAATTATCTGCAGAGCTTTGTAAAACTACAAATGCCTGGGTTACACATTTCAGTCCTAAGAAGGAACATTACCGGGTGTAGGGTGTGAGTCTATTGTACAACTGCGCAGTTCCTTAACCTAGCAGCACCTTTTTTCTATGCTTT